CCCCCTCTGCCCACCACAACAGACTTACCAGCTGGAGGCAGTTGTGTCCAGCATGGTGAGCACCGCTGCCTGTTTAATCTATGGACAAATCTTTAAAGTGGTGCTGAGTCTTTTCTGAATCAATTTGGAGGCTTCTGATTTGATTCAGACCTTTTAATAGGCCTCCCAATTCAATTCCAATTAATAGATTCAGTTGCCGAATTGGGCCGAATCTCCTCCGAATCAAATTGGCTACCAAAGCTTTGCACAGCCCTAATAGGAACCTACCACAAGGATAGATTAGAACAGCCCATCTGAAGAAGATAATTAGTAGTGCCTATTGAATGCAGTCTCCCTCAGCACTGACTTCTTTTCTGATACTCATGTACCACTACATTGCATATATTTTGACTTCCTCCTTATTCCCACAGCTGAACTGTCCCTTTCTCTCCCATTTCCAATGAGTCCTGTGTCTTCACTAGCCTCACATGTCTGACAAACATCACCAAATGGAGCCCCAAACACTTCACCCAGAACCCCTCTGTCACCCTCTCTCTCAGCCTGGTGCATATGATTAGTGTGCTCCTTCCCTCCGTGAAGTCAAACCAGGCCAGATGGCCCTGTGCCTAATCTGCATACAAATGTTTGGAGGATCTCAGGACTCATGACAAGAACACCCCATTCCAGTCATGAGTGTAGGTGCTAATTAGCACATGAATTCTTTGTGGAGGGTATGTGGAGTACATGCACATACTGAGCAGTGCTGAGCTGTGGGGTCACCATGGCTTAAAGTATTGTTGTCTCTGTTGTGGCCATCCCAGTGAACCATATAATGAATTATAAGCATCTCGGCTTTGGATTAATACCAAGCATAGTATTGCTTCTTGGTCTCTTGAAGGCTCAGATCAAGTGTAGTGGCTTCTTAACCTGGCAGGGGAAATACCATGTATCTGTATCCAAGAAGGCAGTTTTCCTGAACCACTTTGCAGGAGAATTGCTTTTCTGGTGTGGTTCAGTACCCAATGAGGTGCAGTAGCTTTAAACCCAGTTTATGGAAATGAGAGTCTTCTTCCTTGCTTGTTTCAAGGGCCTTATGATAAAGGGCAAGCAAAACTCAGAGGCATTTGAACCCCAAGCTTCTGGTCTTGGGCCTGCAAATAGTATGCCTGCCAAAGGTTTTGGAAACATCTGAAGCCCCAGGTGCAGGTGGAGAATGTTTGCCAGTTGTAGGGCCACTTATGGTTCTGGACTCTTGGATTTGGAATTAGTTTTGGCTAATTTGGCCTCAGATACAAATTAAATAGCTCTATCAAGCCTTCAGTCAGTGCAGATGTAGTTAGGGATCTTCTGGAAGGGCTAGATATTTTTAAATCTGCAGGTCCAGATGCCCTCCACCCAAGGGTCTTGAGGGACCTGGCAGGGATCATTGCGGAGCCTTTGGCCTGGCTGTATGAGCATTTGTGGTCATCTGGCCAGGTGCCGGGGGATTGGAAACTGGCTAATGTGGTCCCTATTTTTAAGAAGGGGAGGAAGGAGGACCCAAGTAATTATAGGCCTGTAAGCCTCACCTCGGTGCTCGGGAAGCTCTTGGAGCGGATCATCAAGGAGCATATCTGTGGGGGGCCTGCAGGGGAGATCATGCTCAGGGGCAATCAGCATGGCTTCACCAAAGGCAGGTCCTGCCAGACCAACCTGATTGCCTTTTACGACCAAGTAACTAAATCCTTGGATATTGGTGTTGCTGTGGACGTAGTCTTTCTAGACTTTAAGAAGGCCTTTGACACTGTCTCTC